GGGGCTGGTGCACGGGATTCGTGCACTGGTGGGGAGTGTGGCCTGCGGAGATTGGCCCGCTGTGGGAGCAGCTGCTCATCCCAGTCAGCTGAGCAGCGCTTCCATTGTGGGAATGCACTGACCACCAGGGGGCAGCCCCTGCCTTGAAGTGCCTCTGCCCTGGTGGTCTGGTTGGTCGTTCTGGTCATTCTGCCATTCAGTTGCTGGGCTTTTATTATATAGGATGAGTATAGGTTTCAGTTTGGGAAAATGAAAAAGTTCTAGAGATGGATGGTGGTGATGGCTGCATGGCAATGTGAATGTACTAATGCCAATGAACTGTACACTTAAAAGTGGTTAAAATGGTAAATTTTATGTTATGTATTTTGTCACAGTAAAGTTTTTAAAAAACACCCTTTGGTGTCCATTGTTCATGCAGTATCATAATGATGGTTACTGGGTTTTGGCTGCCCAGTGTCTCAGTCTCTATAAGTGAGCTAGCTGCATGGGACATGCTTACACAAAAATTGTTCATTGTTTATCTGGCATTTAAACTTAACTAGCTCACGCTGTTTCCCAGTGGAGTGCCCTACACCTTCAACATCATCCTGCCCAAGCTGTTCCTTCTGGATTGCCCTTCACTGGCCAGGATACCCCACTTGTTGAAGATCAAGCAGCACCTCCCTGATGGAGTCTGCCTGGAGCCAAGTGTGTGGCCCCCTCCTCTCAAGACCAGGGCTTTCTGTCCGGGCCTCTTGATGGCACATCTCCCTGCACTCGGATCCCCTGTGAACCTGGCACTCTGGCCTCCCCTGACGCTTCTCTGGGGCAGAACCAGATCACGATCATCTATCTGTATGTTCTCAGTACCCGGCCTGAGGCCTGTCCTGCAGACCTGTTGGTCAACCAGTGCTTACTGGGGACCATTAATTGCAGAGTGAATTGTATTCTATTATGTTTGTACATCATAATTTGTTTACCTTTTCTTATATTTGGGCCCTTTAGGCCAGTTTCAGTTTTTCTTCTTGGTGTAAATCAGCCACTGTGGGCCTCTGTATAAATTATTTTTATTTCTTTTGGAGTCATTTCTTTAGACCTAGTTTCCAAAGTGAAGTTACCTCAGAAGCATTCTCAGGCTCAGCCTAGCTCCGGCTCCTCTGCCAACCCAGCTAGGGAATCCCAGGGGAAGCAGTTTTGCTCAGCAGAGAAAAGTATGGTCTGAATTCACATTGCAGAGGGGTTGGGAATGGGAGAGGGGTGAACATTATGGGCAAGTGCATGGCCCTGGGGAAGGTTTGGCCTGGTGTCGGAAGTGAGACTCCTGGCTGGTATGAGCAGAGTATCATGTGGGTTAGAACCAATGATGTTCATAACAGAGGGTCTTGAATGCCATATTAATTACTTCTCAATGTCCAACTAACAGATGATTTCTATGCCAAAAATGAGAAGCATTCTCCACTTTGTATAAGTCTCTCTAGGG